ACCGCTAATTAGTTAGCGGCGCTACACATCGACACAACTATCATTTACACAATATACATGTGTGGGTAATTTCATATCAATAGATATGTATAGAAACATTCGTCTATCACACACATCTTGGTATTTAAAAATCATTTTTGTGTCGGTATACGCAATAATTTAGTAAATAAGTTTAAATAAAAACGAGGGTAAAGATAAAATTACTCATAACAAACTTTGAATAAATCGAAATCAAAAATAATGAACGATCGAGCTATACAATACCCATATAAATATAGTGCTTTCTCATTGTAATTTTATGTTACTGTGATATATAAAATATTTCGATGATCTCATCTACAGCGCGCTTGGCGCAATGGTTACGCCTCCAATTGTCAAGTAAAGTGCCGCCGGATCGATTCCAACATTCACATGTTGTTTTAGAATTAATTTATCAAATATTTGAAATTTGAAATTAGAAACAATTAAATCTTTTTTTTTTCCTTTCCTATTGTTCTAAATCTTATGTTAATTTTAATAGTAAATACTTTAGATTTATTTATACCTATAATATCTTTTATTTATATTTTAGTTCTAGTTATTTATTATTTAGAATAATCTCATTTGCTTCATGCATTTCAACCAACTTAAATAAGATAAAAACAGTAAAAAAGTAATTAACTGTGATTTCTTAATGGTTCGATACCTGAGTATATTTGCAATGTTTGTGGCGACCATAGAAATCTCGAGTCATTTTATTTTACACGCTTATGAAGTAACTACCGACTATTTAAAACATGTTTTTCAAATCACCCGACTTACAAAATAATTGCGTTCTTAGTTGTCAATTTATGAGGATTTCATAGTTTATTGCTACACTACTTATATTCGTGTGCAAAGTTATTTTTATTTTTACAAGATGTTCCAACACCTATCAACATTTAAAAAGGCTGAAACCATTGTTTTGCATGAGCAAAACATAACTAACAATAACTGAAATAGCAAGGCGTTTAATGATATCGGTGAGTAAATAAGATACTACGTTGATATTCTAAATAATATTTATTTCATTTTGTAACTCGACACACCTATCAATTTTTGCACTAGAATAAAATAATTATTGCAACTTATTATGAAGTTCAATATTATAAAGATATATTAATAATTTATTATTAATTGTATTGTAACTTGACTTGTTTTTGTTAGGAGTGTTTCTTTAAAACATATCTGGTTAGGGATTTTTATTCCTTACGCCACTACTTAATTATAAATTATTATTCTAACATTGTGTTTACTTATATTTATTATTATTTTTAAGTAACTTTAATTCCTGTAAAGTATTTCCTGGTATTTTAAATACTTATTTGTTTGGTATCAACAGAGGAGATCCATGCAGTTATGGGTGCACAGATATGCGGAGACCGGTGACGTTAAACATCGTCGACGTGGGCCTAAACCAAAGGCAAATTCATCGGCTCGGCACTACGACATCGTAGCCAGGCACATGGCTGATCCGTTCCTGCCAACCCGCACTACAGCGACAGCACTGAATGTTTTAATACAAACTGTACGGAGACACCTGCATTCTGGTTTAAGGTGCAGGAAGCCAGAGAAGAAAATATTGTTATCTGTGGTTCACCAGCAAAAGCGCTAAGAATTTGCTAAGGACTTTATTAATTTTGATTGGGCGAACAGTGTAATCATATTGAGCGACGAAAAGACTTTCAAGTCGGATAAGGATGGGCGTAAAATATTGTGAAGAAAAGATGGAGAAAGGTATACGAATTGCAACCTTCTGCCTTGTAGGATCAGTGATTGTATTGATTTCGGAATCAATTATTGAGCCTGTCAAACTCTGCCTTTATTAAAATTAACATAAAATAATGTTTAATTTTTTTAAGAATATTAAAATGCTGTCTAGAACATACGGTGAAGTGATGTTATTGTTTTGTGGTTAGAAATTGTCATAATTTCTTTCTATTCAACATGTTTATTCACTTCACTTTAATTTTTCATTAACAAATTTATTTAACTGCTTTCGAACTTGATTGACATATTATATTTACGCCCATCTTCAATTAATTTAAAGTTTCCCTGATTCTAAAGGTCATGAAAGTTAAAATCGTTCCATAGCATTCGTCACATTCTTTTTACTATCATACAGCCCACTGAATATTGAACCTTATAACAACCGTCGTAAAATAGATAATTAATGGAAGTTCAAACGACAAAAAGTCGCCCATTTCAAGAAATATTATGTTGACAGTGTAATTTTTTACATGTTTTACTTGTTTATTACTGTAAAACTGTAATTTAATAATACATTATATTATTAAATTACAAAACAAGAATGTTGTATATTTGTTTATTACCTACTTAATAAAAAATGTTGCTGCCATCGTATTACCGCTGTACCGCATGATATTTCCCGATTCGACTATGAGGTTTATTGTCATATCTATTAATTATGATTTAAAGAACTTTAAACTTAACATGTGGTATATAATTAATTATTAGATATAAATATTGAATATAAAACAACATATTTGTATAATAAATAAATTAATTGTAATAAAAAATAGTATTGTTTTATTTACCAACTCATTTGCTTCTTTTATAGCCTGATATTTATATTTTATGACAAAAAACAAAAAAAAAAAATAAGAAAAATAACAAGGTAAAATAAAATTAACTTTTAGCTGGAATAGAACCCACATCATTGATCCTTGAAAGACGATAAAAGCGTGCTCATTAACCAATCGACCACGAGCACTACGATAATGAGTGACAGTGAAAATGTCGGGTCATATCAATGATTGTAAATAGTTTTAACCTTACCTATGCATTAAATTATAAAAATACGTATACCGACACAAGAATGAAAATACCAATGTGAACGTGGTGGACGAATATTTTTATATACAGTTATATGAAATTACGCACACATGTACACTGTGTAAATGACAGTTGTGTCGATGTGTAGCGCTGCAACTAATTAGCGGTGCTTTGTGTACATACTTTGCTTTTTGAAGTGTCAAATATTGAGACGTTACGTCACTGATTTTTGAGACGCTTTTAAAAATGGGTAATACAATTGTTCAAATTAAGATAACATAACGTCACGCCTTTTATCCCCGAAGGGGTAGGCAGAGGTGCACCCAGAAGTAACACCCACTTTTCACTATTTATGTTATGAGTCCCATGTAATAGGGGGAGCCTGTTGCCATATACTGGCCACATTTCCAGACTCCGTGCTACTACTAAGATTTTTTTTTAAATCCCAGTAATATTTTGCCCAACCCGGGAATCGAACCCGAGACCCCTTGCCAACGAGGCAGTTGTTCAAATTACTCCATGAAATATAATAAATGTTTATTAAACCAATATCATAACGTGAAAAATAGGTAACCGTTCTAATTGGCTGTAAGTACAATGGCGTAGGTATTACTTCTTTCTTTCATCCTTTACTTCAAGTTCCAATACGACCACAAAGGTTTTAATCATATTGAAGCCTATGTAGCGAGCTATCAAGGGTATTAGACCGTAGTCGACAGAAAACATAAAGCCTATTTGGTATGTATCAATTTCCTTGAATACTTGACATCTCAAAGTCTTATTGGGTCATTTCATTTTGAAATAATTCGTAATGTAGAAATAAGGAAGGCACAGTACAATTAATAAGATATTTTAGAGTAAAATTAGTTAATGCAAATATGCTTGTATACAATAACTATGAAGCTAACTGTTAATAATTCTAAAAGTATTCCTTGATTACATTGATTGAAAATTAAATTTCACAATATTGCCAGACGGAAATTACATTTAAAAAATAATTTGTAACAGACGCCGCGCCGGCCTGATTTTAAATAATTTCCAACAGCACAATGAACAAACAAAACATACATTTCGTTAACAAACGCCCTCGCAAAATGTAGCGGGATTTCAGAAAAGAACATTTTCCTTTCTGCCGGTTTTTTGCCAGGGTTTTCCCAACTGCACCCTTTGCCAAATTCATTAACTACAATTAAGATAAGAATGTTAATCAATTGTTTCGTTTCTCTTCATGACAGTTGAAAGCAGGAAACAATCAACATTTATTCTTTCTGCGATTTATTATTATAATTTTGAGATTGGTAATGTATTTCAGTCGATGTCCAAGTGTCTGACACTCTGTCACCTGTCGCCTCCACTCGACGTAGGAAATGCGAATTATTTTCTATTGTATTTTTATTTTAGTCTCATTCTCAGTCTCAAAAAATATTTTAGCTTAGGAAATCATTCGGTAAATACGTTTTACTCTAAAGCTTTACTGTAAAGCGTAGTACCAAGTACATACATTTTTCACGAATATAAAAATTATATTTTTAATTTAATAGAATCATAATGACAAAATATAAATAAATTTAACCGGCGAAGAATATTTACTACCTATTGTTGAAATAATCTTATTTGTACACAAAATTATTAAGGTATCAATCATATTACTATTTAGGTCTAAAGGTTTATTAAGACTAAAAGTAAATGACAAAACATTAAACCAAATCCCTCACGAATCAGAGAACATATCATTCACAAAGTCACTCGTATTCACAGTTTCATGTCATTACAAACAAATTTACGGATTAAACGAAAACATTACCATTCATTTGCCATGAAGAATCCCCGTCGTTATGAATCACGACCGACAAACAGGCGGATAGGACGACAAAATATATTTCACAACAAGAGACTATAATGAGGCCGGTGCTTGTACTCTCATTTATATTGCGAAATGACAAAAAATAATATTTTACGTCGCAGAATTAAATATACATGAACAAATAATGTGGAACGAAATATTACCGAGCTATTAATGACACAGCGACTCGCTCAAATTACATATTGTACATTAATGATTGGTTTTGTACCAACATTGTGTTAATTATGATTTCTTGGTAAAAATATTATTTATGTTGAAATTAAAAACACTTTTATTTGTTACAGATAATGTTTGCGGACCACATTCGGATGCTTGAGGCAATATGAATGTCAGAAAGAGTTTGGACGTGAGGCTGATCGCCTTATGCACAACCTGCCTCCTGCTGCCCGCCATCGCCTGCCCCTCACAATGTATATGCAAGTGGAAGAACGGTAAAAGATACGTCGAGTGCTCAGAAAAAGATCTCAAAACAATCCCAAACTCACTTGACCCAGAAACACAAGTATTAGACTTCACAGGAAACGACTTGCAAGTTTTACAAAAAGAGACCTTTCACAAATTAAACTTGCTCAATCTTCAAAAAATCTACCTACCAAGATGTAGGTTGCAAAAGATCGATAACCACGCGTTCAAAGGTCTCGCGAACCTCGTTGAGTTGGATCTCTCTAACAATTACTTGACAGTCATACCGTCGACCAACTTTGTTTTCTTCCCGTCGCTAATGAGGCTCTCACTCAACAACAACCCAATAACGAGCATAAAAACTCACTGCTTCCAACATTTATCGTATTTGAATACTTTGGAAATGAGTGATTGCAAAATAGAGACAATAGAGAGAGACGCTTTTTCCGGACTCAACCACCTGGAGTGGCTGCGACTGAACGGCAACCGACTATCAAATATTCAAGGTGAAAATTTATTCCCCGATACGCTGCGAGGGATCAACTTGCAAAATAATAATTGGAATTGTGATTGCCATCTCAGGGATTTACATAGTTGGTTGTTGAATTTCAATATGCCGCACGCCGTTGAACCAATTTGCTCCCTCCCTGAACGTTTGAGGAAACGGACGATCGCGAGCGTCACGGAAAACGAGTTGGCGTGCGTACCGAAAATGAGCCCTACGTCCGTGTTCTTAGAGACTAACGTCGGTAACAATATAACCCTCGAGTGCTTAGTGAAAGCGATACCCGAAGCGAAAGTAACGTGGTTATATCAGGGCCAGATCATTCATAATTATTCGAGCATGTTACCGGACGTTCGCGATCTGTATTATGTGGAGAACGGCGTTACGGATAAAAAGAGCGAATTGTACATATTCAACATTGGGAACGACGGGAACGGCACGTACTCATGCATCGCAGAGAACCCCGCAGGCAGGTCGCGGGCCAACTACACAATACGAATACTTGTGAAGGAGGAGCCCGTTGTGATAGTGGTCACGTTCCCACAGAGACATCTCGTAGTCATAGTCACTGTAGTCTTTCTTATTATTATCCTACTTATAGCTATAATCGCCGTAGTGTTATTAAAGTTTAAAACAGACACCCGCAGTCGCAAGAAAAAAGAAAGTGGCAAGGATGTAGCGTTATGTAATCAAATTTTACCTTCGAACCGCGGGAACGGGATGCCTAAAAATAATGGCAGCGTCATTGTGAACGCGCACTCTCATCACGCGCTGCACTATACGGTACAAACGAACCGTGATTACGACTCAACCGACGTGTATCAAAGCAATAACATGAAAGGCTTTGTCGACAGGAACCCCGACCTAATTAGCGACGCGGAAACTGTAGCTAACAATGCGCAAAACGAGAATACAGTGTTATCAGTATACAAAGCGCAAACCGCGGGCGGGGACAGCTTCCAAGAGGAAACCGCATTCACCGCGCCGACAATACCCCGGCAGGTCACGTGGCAGGATCAACAGACCATCAACATGCCACAGAACACGATCAACAACATGTACCAGCACTCGGCGGATGTTCACCTGAATCCAGGATGCTTCCTCGATAACGAAGGCTACCCTTACGACTACGGCCTGCCCAAACATCCCTGCCGACCGCCAATAATGTCCAACTATTCGGTAGTCGGTCCGTTTTATCAGACGCTGCCACATAATCGACCCAAAGGGCAGAAGCTTGTTTGTAAATTCGCTAAAGATACAGAATTTAACGCGCCCACGCCACCCGCTTGTCCCAATTTCGAGTTGCCGTTTGGGCCAGGAAATGTGCGGCGTACTTTAGAAGGCTACCCTGTACCGAGGAATAGGCAGATCGCGTTTGTAGGCAACGGTACGGTGTATTACAACGAGGAGTTCGTACCGTCTCCGCCAGAGGGCTACAAGACGGAACCAGTGCAGTGTTGTGCGCCAGCCGAGGCGTGTAGTTCGTGGGTGAACCCGAAGGGTACGTGTGCAGTGATGGTGCCGATGAGTGTGGCGGAGGGGCCGGGTCGGTGCTACCAGGTCGAAACCCGGTGCGTGGACACACAGACCACAGACGCTCGGATGCCCGGCGAGGGCACTGAGAGTGTGCTCAAACCTTTACCGCAAGTGTCTAACGCGAAGTGTGCCGCTGACATATGTTCGGAAAGCCCCGATGAGGGTTACGTCGGTGACGCTAACGATATCTGACGACGACGCCAGACCGATAACGCTTAAACAGGGCAATTTAGACGCTAACAAAGTGATAAAGCGACTGAGTATAAAGTAGTTTTGTAAATATATGAGCTCGCGGCGGCGGCGAATGAAGGCGGAACTCCATTACTTAGCGAACGATCCTGTTTGATCCCTGTTTTGCAATTTTGTATATTTTATAGAGTAAGTCCGTTTGAAGCCGCCTTTGTTCGACAGTCGTCGGTAAATGGTTAAACTAATATCATTACCAACATTTTAGTGTTTTCCAATTATGTGCAAGAGACAAGCCTGTATTTTCTATTACTAATGGAATGCTAATAGTTGTTTTTATTGTAATCTGTTTATATTAATTCGTGAAATGTTTTATTTACACTAAAACAATATTTTCTGTGCAATCTATACGCGTGTATTCTATTACGTAACATTTTGTAACACAACATTCCACGCTTGCATATTTGTTGTTATAAATTCCAAGAGAACAACAGAAGCGAATACAATACATTTAGCAATAATTAGAATTGAAAACTTGTGTAATTAGTGAAAGGAGAGCGTTTAACGTAACATTTGGAACAATAAACCATTGTAAATTAAATAAAAACAAAGTATACTAGACAAAATGCTACATAACACTTTTTACATTGGAACTTATGATAAATTATATAACCAATCTCCGAATTGTTATAGACATTATACAGGCTGTAAATGGATCGCTCCCGAAACGCTGATAAAAAAATTGTTTTTACAGTTGGGTAGTTTCCAGGGCATCAAAATTAAAAATTAAATTTCTCCATCAGTTAGATAATGAAAATTTATATTAAACACGTATTTTTTTTCTCGTATTAATTGGCAATACTTAGATAAAATGGCGCTAAGTTTAGGAGTGGGAGGTCGTTACGTCGTAACGTGCGTGCTACAAAATGTGACACGCTGTGACGTCACACGATATTTCAAGTTAATATATCGTCGAAAGTATTTAATTTTGTGAGAAAAGAAAAAATACGTGTCTAAAGTTTTAAATCAATGTACCAGACGGACATTAAAATAAAATTTAGGAAACTACCCTATTTTAATCGTTTTTGCTTTTGTGTCATTCATGCAACATCAGCCTGGAGCCGTTGATTACAATTACTATTACATGAAAGAAACATTTGATTCCTTACTTTAGTGAAAATTATACATATTATTTGCCATCACCTGTCATCGTTTTTCGAGAGCGTTCTTGTTACACTCGGCCTACATTACATAGTCAACAAAACTACACAATTTTAATACAAAGCATAATATAAAGACAATTTGTGCACAATGCATAAATACTCGACACATTTAAAAAAATTACTTTGCAAAAATAAACTGTACCTAACAAATATTTTAGTAATTTTAAAAGAAAATCTGTTTTTGACTTTCTATGATTTAGTATGTAATGTAATCTAATGTAAATATTGTGTAAATACTAGTAATGACTTACTTTCTGTAAAGGATTACATAAGTAGCTGATGTTAAGTATTAAATTGATATCAGGGTATCCCCTAAGAATAGATGTGGTGTTTCGATGACTTTTGTTTTATATTACTCATTTTTATGTGACAAAGATAGTTTATGTAATAATGTAAACCATTTACAAGAACATTTATTTTACCTGATAGAAATTAGTTTTTCAATATACTATAATTGACGATTTATCTTTAACGTTAATTATACATTTCAACAATCAAAATTCTAAGTTAGTCAAAAGTATTAAACCAATTAAATTAGCAAGAACTCTAGTTCCTTTAAAGCCTGCAGACAAAATTACTTCGTTACTTCTAAGTAAAATGTATTTGCTAAGTATTATTTCATTGGAACGATGAAAACTACTTCTGACTGATTTACCTAGTTGAAAGTTTTGATTGGTTAATTGTTTTACAGCAACAATGTAGTAAATTCATAGAGAAAATTACTTTTCTGGTGAATGATTCTATATTAATTTAATCAAATTCCAATTTCAAACATAAATAGAGAAGCGTCACCGATTCATGGTGGATGTCCCATCCACTCGCACGAAGCGCTTTGCTTTAAGCTTGCTTGTGCGTACGGAGTGGAATTCTTTGTCGTAGTCTGTGTTTCCTGAAGGAAACCTGATTATCTTCAAGGCCCGAGTAAATTGGTTGGTCTACCTATAGCAGACGTGCTCCATCATTGTTTACCACCAGGTGAAATAGTGGCCAAACGTGGACCCATTAAAAAATTTACCACAAAAATATTCACAAACAATTGCCGGTAAGATTTGAAAGCCTCAGTTCTAGTTTTTATAAAGCAAACAAAGCCATTTCAATTTCCCGTGTAGACAACAAGAACAGGTCAATCGTAAACTAGGCGCCGATAGAATTGTATCAAACCAAAAACATTTGTGTTGTGTATTTACGAACCGCTTTATCTAAATAGAGTGAGTATTCAATTAGAATCGGGATTTGCGCTTTGGAATTTCTTTGAGCAATAGATGAGGTGAATAGCTCCAAATACTTGATGGAGTCATGGTTGATATGTATTTATTATGAACTTTTAAAAATTGCTCTCGAATAGCCTTGGGTCAACGTCTTGAATCAAGCAATGTGTTGGTTATATATTATATATTTATATTTTTTAATTATCTATACTGGCATGGAGTGTTTAATAATAGTCCCTGACACTAGACTCACCCCCTTATAGACAAGACTAGTGTAGTAACATAAATAGTGATAAGTGGAGGTTACATTATATTCACATAGTTCAGAGTTCACCTCTGCTATCCTTTTGAGGATTAAAAACCGTTCTGATAAGCAATATTATATTTTCCAAAAATCATTCTGGTTCGTCGAAAGTAAATACTGTTTAAGCTACATTATGTTAGAATCATCAAATATGGAAAATATGTCAAAATCGTTTAAGCAACCTAATTCGTTTACATGCTACGTGTAATATGAAATAAGTCAATTTCAATATATATTCTGTATTATGATAATGTGTGACATAGACATAAGACGGCGTAATGACTAATTTCAATATTGTTAGTTTAATATTAAACGGTTTTACCTTACGCATATGTATACAATTATCATTATAACCTGTGCTATTTGATCATAAAACTAAATATTTGCACATGATGTTTGATCAAGTATTGATTTTAAGAAGCTCCTATGTGACTCTTCTGGTGTTGCGGGTGTCCACGGGCGGCGCTGATCGCTTACCATCAGGTGATCCGTCTGCTCGTTTGCCTCCAATTCCATAAAAAAAATGTCGTATCTCTCATCGTTTTAATTATTATTGGTAACAAATCCAATCACAATGTTAGCAATAAAAAAAAAAGCAAAATAATGTTATCAAACCGATGACTTTTTATTTAACAATCACTCCAAGCACAAAATTGTATTGTCTTGATTGTCTAAAAACGAAATAAAACAAAAGGGAGCCCCAACATACAATCAGCTCTTAAAATCGTGGGCCTCAAACAAAAGGCATTCCCAACACAACCCGCCCAGATATTAACAATATTTATGACAACGTAAACTTCTACCCATAACCTTGAGTAATTATACGGGGTTTGGATGTTAGCCAAACTCATTAATAATACTCCTAACTATTAAAGAGACACTTTAACTTAATTTATTCATTAATTAATAGAGTAACAACCTTAATTACTGGATCATAAGTTTGATATTTATTTGGCATATAATCTGAGAGTTTGGTTGAGTCTGAGTGGGAGGGTGTTGAAGGAAATGTTATTGGGGTGCTTGATGGAGCTGTGTTCTATGTATACAGAAATAGGGCATTAGAATCATCTTAGAGTTCCAAAATAGAAAACATAGATGCATATTTTTTTGATCTTTAATACTAAGTTATCCCAGGTTAAAAACAATGACATCTTTGTACTAAAAATTCAAATTCCCGCAAAACTTTTAAAGACTACGAATACCATTAAGCAGTTAGCATCAAAAAGAAATCCACGACAAATCTGTACCTAAATGGGTTTCTGAACATGGGGGAAAAATTCACATTTTCTCGGGGAAAAAGTGACAGGTGAATGAGAAATTAAGTTAGGAAAGTTACATCAGGATAAATGAGGAGCGGCTCAGTCTAATGGCCAATGATTATTGTAACTGTGAGGTCATGGTCCAAAGTTTCAGAGATAACTGTGAGTCTATTACTCAACGTCGGATCTCGTTATGTGACGCTAAAGACTTTTACGAACATAATTGCTTCTTTTGATGGCAACATCAAAAGTGATTAGCATTGATTCAAGTTTTCAACGACTCCATTAAAACATTTTAAGCGTCATCGAGTTTAGTATGTTTTCTGTTAGCTGTGATTATGAAGAAATTTGTTCGTTAGTATTTGTATCGTTTTATAAAGGGTCAAATTTAAATTAGGTACTTCGCACAAACTTGCTTTACTTATGACCAAGAGTAGTAATAGTATAAAGAGGTCATTACATAAGGAAACGAACGAAAGAAATATACTAGCGTAAGATACTTGACATTGATTCGTCTTGTTTAACAAATGTGATCATAATTACCATGTAAATAGAAAATTTCTCAGTAGTAGCACGGAGTCTAGAATTGTGCCAGGTATACGGCAATAGGCTCACCCCCTATTACATGGGACTTACAAAATAAATAGTGAAAACTGGATGTTACATTGTACAGTGGCATTAAGTGTCGTGATGTGCACCTCTGACTACGAGACGTGACGTTATATTTAGATAAATTCCCAGATTTTTATTTAGTTATCGGCTAAAACTGGTTAAACAGCAAATAGAGGCCTAATATATTTTTACTCACTAACACACGCTACCTTCTACTTAGACCCTTTGTATATCGCGGAGAACCTAACGGGTAACCAGGGCTCGAGCTGCAGGAGTAACGGGTAATCGGGGCTCCAGCTCGACGTGCAGGAGAAGGAACGGGATGGTTTTTAGTCAGTAAGAGTCTAACACTCTCTCCCGCCTCACCCAGCTCCAAAAAAAGACCCTTTATATAACTATA